GTGTGTGCTATTAACAACATTAATAAATCATATCCACAGTTGATAGATGCAATCTCAAAAATTGAAAGGAATATGTTTTCAATATAGATTTTAACATTTTATATTAATCTTTGAAACATTTTTTTTTGTCATTGCGTTAAGATTACGATCAAATTATTAATGATTTCTATAAGTTATATGCGAATCTTATTCATTAATCCCGTAAAAGCTAAATTGCACGTTAATTAATCAAGAATATTATCTTACTGCGTATATACGATTCTTGGCTGTATTCCGGATGGCCATGAAATTAATCGGCAATTTATCTTCTTTCTGCATTGATTCAATATTTTTTTATGTTAAAATCATTTAGGTAAGATTGGCACGATTTCAAATTAAAGATCAAGTTTGATACTCGTCGCCATCACAAGCTGAATAACGTTAAATTATATTGATCATATTGATTTTATAATTTTAAAAGATATATTTGTTTTATATACTAATATAAAAAGAGAGAGTGTTTATATATAATATATTAATAAGTAATAACACATAACTTAAGAAAAATTGACTGTACCATTAAATCTAATTTTCCAACTGCACATTTATATTTCTCGATATAAATTTTATATTGAATCATTCTTAAAGAATATTGTAGATTTTTAATAAAATATTTATTTTATATAGACGCGTTTTGTTATATATTTTGTTTTGCTATAAGTATACTTTAAAAATACAATGTTTTATTATATTTTAAGCTTCTTGCGCTGAATTTATGAAACATTCTCTATATGTAGTTTCTTTATAATAATTCGTATGGATTTGATCGATAGATATAAGAATGTGGCTGGAACATTAATGGAAGATAACTACGTGAATGTGCACAGCATCCACAGTTCCAGTGACAGCTTGTGAACGCTTGTGTCACCTGTTACACCCGTCATTCGCTTCTTCGTGCTTTCGTGATATCCTGGCTGCTATTACGTTCTCTAGGCCGTCGAGAGAGATGCTAACATTCGGTAACCGGAATGAGAGCACCATCGATTATCGATGTCAGCCGTTGCGCGAGGAAAATACGAATCACAATTGAAAATTCAGCGCGCGCGGAATGCCGGAGCCAATTTCGAACGATCCGTGAAATGTTCGCGGTCGCATTGATGACACATGGCACGAAAAAAAATCCGGCCAGATATGACGAATAAAGTGAAACGATGCGTTTACGGGCTCGCGAAGCGAGCAAGGATAATTTATCATATATCGCAGAAATTTTACGGTAGTCGGATACGTCGATAAATCTTTATCCTCCGACCTCACGGAACGCGGGACTTTTATCCGATTATGTAGTCAATCAACGCGGGGATCTCGAAGCTTGTTGTCGCGCACAACAAAAGAAATCCGTCGATACCATTACACTTAATTTCCGTTTCCGAATGCCAATTTCCCAATCCATAATCGCGCGGGTATCGAACGCGGTGAATAACCGCGATGTCCGTGTTTAAGGGCACTTCGCCGTACGGATAATTCGCTTGATCGGTGGTTTCTCCGCTCTGTGATAGATTTCGTTCCTAACGGAGGGAGAAAAATCAACGGTTCCCGCCATCGATACCGCCGTTATCCATCCATCTTGCCAAGCGAGCCGTCGATGGTCCATCGAATTCACTTCGCGATGGGACTTTGTCAAGAAACGGGCGATTGATCACCGTCTTTGGGCGTTTTACCCGCCGATGACGATATTGAAGTAATCTCAGCCGCTGCCGTGGGTGGTGAAGTTCTCTAAATATTTGGCCGAGTATATTTATCGGCATGCATGCGTGAGAATGTGTGCGCGTACGGTCCGTATGCCGGATACACGCGGGATTTGCGTACGCGTCGACGGATTTCGGCCGCGGGGTAAGGAGACACGAGAAACGGATTGGCGGCCCGCTAGATCCCTCGATCGCTAAAAATACGCGTCGCAATAAACTCAAGGGTGACGTCCACCACGCGTATCGACGGCGACGTTTTTAGCCGTCTCTCTTCCTCTCTTTGAATTTTTGTGTTTTCTTCTCACCGATCCACCATTCCCCAAGATTACGTTCCGCAATGTTTACGCCATTACTCGCTACCATAAACTTGGGATAATTTCATCAACGGCACCCATATTCGAAAAAATAAACAGTGAGGGAAATAAAACGTTAAAATAAGCAACGAGGGAAATGAAAATTTTTCGGCAACATCGCATATCTAATTGTAGGGGTAAGGCCACTTTTAATGGCTCTTTTTCTAACTCGTGACTTCGTTCCATCACTTGAGATGTTTGGTATATTTTGGTCCAAGCGATAACAGTTATAAAGGATTAACGCGCAGTGCTTATTGCATCAACGTTTACTTTTCTATAGGGTTTATTATGATAAGACAACTGCACACACACACACACACACACACACACACACACACACACGCGCAACGTAACATTATGTCAAGGATAATTAATAATAACATCATGTCTTCAAGTTCAAAGTCCTTGAAAACAAGGCCAAGTATATTATTCTCGTTGTCCGCATTATAGTTGCGTGATTTAATCAACTTACTGAATATTATCAGATTTTTTTCGACGTTTTTGAGTCATTGTTAAATTTATAATACAATAGTTGCTAGCAATCTCAATATTTACTTTGAATTTCAGCGACAAAATTTGAATATATCTGATATTATTTATAATAAATATTACCAATTTTTTATAAGAGAAAATTTAATTCTTAGGCAAATTGTTTTAAAAAGATATTTAAAAGAACGAATTATTTTAAATCATAGATAAATTTATGCACACATAATAGATGTACATATAATAGATCTTTTTAGATTTATATATTTTATATAAAATCTTTTCACATAGTAAAATTCTAGAGAGGTAAGATGGCTAATTTGGCGGCGAATATAACATGAGGCATTCTATAAATTTCTCATGCATGAGGAGCACTTATGGCGTTCTTGTAAGAATATTCGTACGTTGCTGACGTTCATGGAAGACGGCGTGGCCTCTTTGAGCTCGTTGCGGTATCGTGGTCGCGATTAAACGCGAAAGCGCACACAAGAGAGTGCTCTATCCTGTCTATGGTGAACTCGTGAAAATAGTAGTAGATCTACTTTAATCATCCTCTACGACGCGATATAAATAGCCTTACAGTTATTTATCACCTACTCTCCATAAAAATCTTTTCCCGCCAGCAACGAAGATACGATAAAAGTTTTAGTCGAGGCCGATTTACATTATTCCGAGTGATAATTATCTTCGAATTGATAACTGCGCATTTTGCAATAGCGAATCTTCGATTTTATAGCGATGAAGTGATGGATCACACGATCCGTGAAGACGCGATACGCATCATTGATAATACGATAAAGTGCAGATCGGTCATACGTATTTTGTAAGTGTTAAAATTATAATTTCCGTGGAAAAAAAGGACTTGTCCTTCATGGTAGACTGCAACGTCAAATAAATGTAAAAACAATTTATATTAAAATTATAATTTTAACGATGAAAAATAGTCTGGACTTTTCGACGTGTTCTCAAGACCATTAATTCACCCGCCATGGACATTAATCATCGAGACGATCGAAATCGACGACCGAGCGAGAGGATAATTCTCTACGTGGACGATTTCGCGACAGCAACCGGTCAAGACTTGTCGCCGGAATTCCGTGCTGAGGATGTTTATATCTTGTCTACCGAACCGGATGGTCCGCGAATGAGTCATCGTTCCAGTCTGTATCCACTCGATAGTTCGGGTTTCCATTTGGATGATCGTTCCACCCTTTATCCCTTAAATTCTGGCGAGAGATCGCCTTCTTCTAATCTGCTATACTCGCAGTCGAGCACCCCTAGACGCTCCAAATGCAATTTAGATGTCGATCAGAGGTCCAGCAGACGCTCCAGCACACAGTCGAGTCGCTCGAGGACGAACAGCTATAGCAGACCGACTCCTTTAGGTAGGAGATAATTGGAACGTAAATAAATGAAAGAGAATCTTCTATTTCTCACTACTAATCACAATAATTAGTCTCGAATAAATATCGTAACACATTGGCATTATTCTGTATTTTATCGTATTTGTGCTAAAATATCTCCTCTTGGGACTTTAAAATATAATCGGATTAAGTCAATTTGTGTTTCTTGATCATTTTGTGACGTCGTTGCTCGAATGCATTAAAGATACATAAGATATATCGCATTTAGCCTTGAAGCATTCAAAAGTGATTATCGCTTCTATCGATCAATTCCTGTGGGCGTGAGAAAAAGCGCTTTAACATTAATACACGACGACGACGTGAAACTTCAGGGGATGATAGAAGAGCCAGTGTTAGCAAGAAAACCAGGCCACGGAGGGCAAGTACCGCTACTTCACGAAAGGATTCCGTTCGCCCCACAAAGATGGACGTCAAGCAGACGCAGAAGATAATAGAGGATGCTCATCAACTTGAGCAGACGAGGCGTCATCGGCGAATCGCCATGATCGTTCTGGGGATTTTTATCTTTCTTCTGACGGCTTCGATACTGGTGGTGGTGATCACCTTGACGCACAGCACTTTCCTGAGTCCTGTGGCAGGCTCGAAGGAGCTGGCCAAGCACAGAGCGCAACGTAAATCATGATTTTTGAAAGCTTTTGAACACTAACTCCAAATCACATGAAACATACATCCGTTAGATTACTGAAACTATTCATAATCGCAGATTATAATTTTCTTTGTTCGTCGTCATCAAGTTTGACGATATTCCTTTTTAACTATTTTAAAAGTTGTTTGAATAATTTAAATCTTCACTGTTCTTTATTTATGAGCGATAAAGTTAATCGCATCGCCAAAGTTAAGAAAAATCTATCTCGACGCGAGAAGAAAGTAACATAAATCTACATTTTGTTCGCTCCATCTCGAAAACGGGCGCGTGCGATGGTGATGTTGTATTATACACTTGTGTAAAGATATGCATTTTTAAGTATGTGTGTGTGTTTGACGTTTACTTACCGACGCTATTATTGTTTCAGTACGGAAGGAGAACGAGGAACTGCTAAACTCCCTGAACAGGGACATTTCCGTGCCTGAGAACGTTACGGCGCCGCCCTAAAGCGGAGTGTTGAAAACGGAAGTGCATCGCTTGTCTGTCACTCACGATTTGCTTCAGCCACATGTGACAGGATGATGTCCTCATCTCGCGAGGCGGTAACTTCACGACGGCAGACAGCATCGTCGAGGATCAACGTTGTTTCGTTTTACGAAGTGCGAAACATCTGGGCGATTCAGGGGAGAAATCTCAAGACAAATGGTGAGAAAGATTGGCAGTTTTGGCGTATTCATCTCTTCAGCAAATCTCATCGGATCGATAGCACGCTGATTAGGTGTATCGCAGTTTTAATATGACGCTTCAAATATGACGCGTCTTTGTATACGACGCCGCGGTAAGATTGTTGCAAAGTATTCGCGAAAAATCCGATCGCGATATTCGATATATTATATTGTACTGTTGTATTGTTGCCGCATGTAGAAATGGTGTGTGTATATATATATATATATACACATACACCGTATATCGTATCAATGCAGACTATGTGCCCTCGATTCCAGAAGGCTGCGCCAATAAGAGCTCACTTCGATCAGACCGGCGTTCAATCTGAATTATTGGTAAAGTTCGGCGCCAAATTAAATTACTTAGCAGTAACATTTTTATCTGGATGAATACGTTTCACAAAACACAATTGGAATTGGAAATTTCTAGCGAAACCGTAATTAATCGTATATTATCCGATAATTGTTTGGCGCACATAATTATTATTCAACATACTCGGTCGTAATAATATCGTACGCATTAAATAGTAAAACATATGTTTCGCAAAGTGTCTGATCTGCGTTGAAAGCGAGTCATAATTCTTTAAGATCGCAATATTTGGTGAGAGCTCGCGTAGTTTGAGAAATTCAATTTGACGATAAATCGCGTACCGAAAGCCAACAACGAAAGAACGATAAGATAAGTGACACGTAAGAAAATTTGGTGTCATAGACGTAGCATCTGGTCATTCGTCCGTCAGCGAAGGAATTGACGTGTACATGAGACCTCCCTTCTATACACTTCGAGTACGATTGGATGTATGTACGTGGCCCGAATCGGGTACACGTGAGTATCGATCTGTGTCATCAACACGCGAATACGGGCTTCATACGTCACGGATTCGCGAGAAATCGTGTCGCAGGACAAAAACGCGACATAGAGTGTAACTCCTTTTGTGCTTTTTTATACGTCTTCCAGGACGCGAGAAAAGACATAAACTCGATAAAGGGGGATTCTCAGTCACTGATTCTTTAGCGTCGACGACGTTTGTGATGTTCTCGCGAATGTAGAAAGCTGTACATAAAAGAACGTTTGTTATTAACATTATCGTTTGTAGTTACACGTCGAGAGGGTAGTCGAGATAAGGGCCAAATTGTTGTTGTCAATTTGTAAGATAAACTGTCGTAGAAGACGTTCGTTGAGATCGTGCGCGATACAGGAGAAGAAAGGAGAGACAGAGCGCACGATCAGTTATTAAAGTATGTGTGTTTACGTGTGATCGTGCATATGTGCATTGTTGTATGTATAAAAGTATAGTTTACGCTTCGCACGAAACGGCCAAACTATTTTTATTCGTTTCACTTTGCTGTTCTCGGTGCAATTTCCAATTTTGCTTTGTGACTAATTGCTTACAGTTTTATCGAATGCTTTTCGTTACGAGTAATGGCGATTCAGCAAGAACTTTTTCCGATACGTATAGGTATTTTGAAATCTCTTTTCACATAGAAAATATTTGTTGAACTTATGAATCTTGTACTTCGTGATTAAGCAATATACATAATTGCGATAGTGCGAGACGCGCTGCGTTCCACAAATTTATTTAATTCTGTGTGTGTATAAGAAAAAAGTGTCTATTATTTTTATAAAAAAGCATATTATCGCTACTCACAGTTAGAGATTTGAATTTTTTATATCATAAAGCTTATTCCGTTACATTCGTGATCGAAATTATTTTAATTTGATATATCAGATTAAATTTAATATTAAAATCGCTAAAACCGATGACATTTCATGACACTGAAAAGGTCACGTTGATATATAGATAAAAGAAACTATAACGCGTGGTGTATAGATACCGTTTATGCTTAACGGATACAATCTGGCTTACGCTGAAAAATATAACCGACACGTTTCGCAACAAAAGCTCCCTGTGGTACGACAATGTCGAACTTTGATATCGCTTAAGATCAGAAGAAATAAAAGTTTCGCGAAAATCGTATTCGTTCAGAAAAGATTTTCTCGCGTATCGCCCGATACGATAAAATTATATTGTTCAGACCGATATACGAACATTATTCTTTCTTAGAACTGTGACATTTATTACATTTTACATTTTCGAAACGCACGAAGCGCATCGGAACACAAATGCAGCGTTTGCTATTTTATATATGTAACTTTCTTCTCTGTATCTTTATTTTTCTCTCTATATAAAATATTGGGATGAGTGTGTGATATAATTAATCTTATAATTAGGGTATCGTTTTTGAGGAATTGGACTACAGTCTCGAATCTCTGCGAGTTTGCTAGCGGTTGCTACAGAAAGACCTTTTTTATCCGAGATAACGTACGATAGCATGCTATAAATACTGTTGGGATTTATGCGTGTACACACGTATAGTGACCAGTCCCTAATGCCGTTTCCGCGACGTAAAATTACGCAACGCGTAGAATAACAGACGCTTACGAACGAGGCAAATTAGAATTTTTATGATTACTTGTTATCCGACTCTCGTATACGTATACGTCGAATTTAAGGTATACGTCTCTGAAACACTATGCGATCGCGCGAAGGTAGATCGACCAGTAAAGATCGACAAGAAGAATTTTTCTTCGTCTCTTTCCAAAGACCAATCTCTTCTCGATTCGTCAATTTTCTCGGTGCCAGAATTAACGCATCTGCGTCGTTCCGTTTCGCTGTCTATTCTAAAGGTAACCGTCCTGAGAATTATGTTTTACTAAAAACTATTTCGCTGATCGCGTTTGAGATATCTCTTTGCTTTATCTACTTATCTACGAGAATGACAGGATGGACGATATAGACCGATCGATCGCACTGATCGCACGCTCGATGATTGTTCATCGTCGAAGAAGAAAAACGATCGGTTTTGATAAGTACGTCTGCGTCGCACAATCAATCGGCAAACGTAATCGCCGATCTCTCGCGATATGTATCGCATAAGAACATATAAGTTAGAATTTAACGATAATCAGTCTTTCGGGCGAACATCGGGCCTTTTTTTCTAGTTAAGATTATTGGCACTGGAGATCGTTACCTTACGGAGACGCAACCGATATCGCTGATAAATTTGTTAACGTAGTCTTAAAGCAACTCTCATGGCCGTAGATCTCTCGCTGGAATATTTCGGCTATAGTTTTCAGCCGCCAATCGATCTGGCGATGAAAAAAACAAAACGCAATAAATCGCTACGTTGCGCGTAGACAACCCTTTTCTATGAGAATATATTTCTCTTTTCTATCTGTAATTAGTAATTTTTAGGAGCACTTGTAGAAAAAGCGTTGTATAGCGTACGATTCTTTTCCGCTATGCCTTTTTCTCAAGACGACTTTTCGTCTTCGTTTTTGCTTAAAAATTGCTTGGAGATCACTTGGCCTAACGCGAGATATTTGAATTTAAAAAGCGAGCTAATAAATAGTTTAGAGCTCTCGTGGCTGCCTGATAGTCTCGAAGAAATCTCACGAGGGCGAATCGAGTTCGACGAGTGTTTGAGCATATAGTGACATTAAAAGCTTTTAAGGGCATAAGCACAGAGAGAGAAAGAGAAAGTAAAATATATATATATATATGCGCTCGTCACGTTTTTATTTCTTACGACACTATAATCCTACCGAGGAAAATACAATCGCGCGGACTTGGCATTGCATAACAAAACTCTCTTCTTTTTTTAAGATTACATTGTAATTAAAATTTAAGCTCCAGATATGAGATGCATGTGCCAAACCTGTGCGTGTATGTTACTATGTACACTTTAGATTTCCTTCGACAATTATAGTGCCGATGTGAGTACGATCGCTTGTGTGTGCGTTTTTACGAAAGAAGAACGAGCATTTCCTCGTCGAGAGAACACAGCGTAGTTCGTTACGAGAACGACAAGCTTAACTCGGGAATAAGATCGCTCTCTGATCGTCGATTACACGGAATTGTCAAGCAAAATGGCTTATTTGTTGTATTGCCTTCGATTCCATCTTTTCATTTATAGCAATGATAACGCACTGAGGCGATATAATATGATTGACAGAAAGACGTTTTTACTATAAAAAAAAGATAAGGCACAAAAGATAAAATGTACAAAATTTTAACTTCAAAGTTTATCTTTAAAATGCGATTAAGGAGTTTAATATAATATGATTATTAAAATTGTATGAGAAGAAATAAATCGATTTAAGAAATTATTTGAAACGTAATTTATATTTAAATTTATAATAATATTTGAATATAACTTAAAAATGCTTTAAAAAAATATTCATATAATTATTTTTTTCTTGGAGGAAAATAAAGAAAAAAAGATTATATTTGATTACTTCTCAAATTATTCCATTATATCAAATTATTAATTATTACTCCAATATATCAAATTATTAATTATACACACATTGGGATCTAGCAAAATACAAAACATTCATTTTCTCCATTTTTTTCTATAATATAAAGTGAGCATTTCTTCAGCATCTATTAAATATTTAAAACACTCCATATTAAATGAGAGATTAATTCTGCACGCGCTGTGTGGTTACAATCATGAAATATATATGCAGATTAATCCGGTTTTTTTGTTGTTTTTTTTTTGGTAAAATTGGACTATGTGCATAACATTGAATAATCAGCGGAATAAAAAGCTGCATGTAAGTTTTATCTTGTCGCTCCCGTATGCGAGAGACGCGTGTTTTATTCGAGAGAAAAGATTCACGCGAGTGGCCGCATTCTGGACACGTTGACGAGATTTTATGCCAGGGATTGTAGTAGTAATATAATAATCTCGACCACGCAAGATATGTATCATAGCGAAGGGCGTTGTGAGATGTTAAAATGGATGAGACATTATAAAAATTTATGTTTCTATATTGTAATAAAGCGTTTATGTATAACGGGGTTATTATAATGCAAAAATATACATACTAGTTGTCCGGTTCGTGACGACTTCTTTATTGACCTTTGACCGATCACGCCGTCTCCTAAAAACGTCTGAAACTGTAGAATTTGCAAAATGTTTCGAAGGTAGGAAAGGATAGGAAGAAAGTGGAAATACGAGAAAGAAAGCTCACGTTCGATATAGTTGCGAATTAAATAGTAACTTTCTTTATTGTCAACGTATATTGCAAACTTCTACATTGTAGAAATCTGAAGTTCAAATGAAATTCATTTAGTCTTTGAACCCTGCCTAAAAGGGACGTGTAGAGAGTCATGCAATAGCGTGAACATACTTGACACACTCGAGAGTTAAGATATTATAAGATATAAGATATTAAGAACACGTGCTCCGCATAGCCGTAATAATAAAAGCGAATGTGATCGACGAATTTTTCGCTAATTACTTTTACGAGCAGGTGTAGGTGCTCTATTCATTCATACACTTTCGACTGTTTACTCGTCGAACATAGCTATGTATTCTTTGGTCTACGGTAACAGGTGGATCGCGTCACCGGGAGCAAAAATAAATCCCTCCTTTTAGCGGGGAGAGGGAGGTGCCATTAACCCGATTATATGAAACCAATTTGGATTCTTCGCGTCAGTCAGACGTCCACTTATTATCGACGACCACTTACGCACGAAAGCACGCACCGGATATTCCGGTGAGTTTCTAGCACACGTCGGAAAAACGTGTGAGTGTATTTTTCTTTAACTCTAATAACGGGCCAGTTATATTCTACGCTGAAGCGCTATTTTTATAACGCATATGTCTCACCTTATTTAAAAGGGAAACATACATAAATCAATAGTCGGAGTAATACATAGGCTCCGAAGCGATCGATTGATAATTGATAATCGAGATTCGATCACTGACCGTCACCCTCATATATATTTTTGTGTTAAAGATTGAAAATTGGAAAAAAGTAAAGGAAGTATTGAATCGTGCTATTGAATCCCTAAAAGATGACAAGTGAAAAAAAAGGAAGTTATTATCATTCCATTGCGTAAGCATTCTAAATCCTTTTTATGTTAGGTCGTAGGCGTTTGCGCTTTTGATAATTTTCCAGTAAAAATTAATTATTTTTCGTTGAAAAATTATTGTGCGCGCATTTTCAGACAATAATGCTTTCACATACACAATCTTACTTTCGCTCATCGAGTATTTTATATTTATTTGGATTTGTTGCTCGTTATTATCTCAAATTTCAGTTTAACTCTGCCTTAAAGAGATAAAAAAAATGTTCTTAATCATGTAATGATATCGTAATTGGGAAACAGAATCTTATTGCTGCAGAAATTCTTTATGTTGTTTGTTTCAGCGAGCTTATTTTTGTGGATATATTATAAATCCTATTCTTAAATGTAACTTTAGCCTGTGGGGGTAATATAGGCCGGAATCAAATCCGGATTTATCAATTATCAGGCGGTCGTTGTAATCACTGAATATCTTCTGAAAAATTATTTATTTTGCAGAATTAAAGCAAAACGGATGCTTTTCTGCCTAAATCCGTGAGAATTTCTCGCCTGTTCAGAGCTTGCCCACACATTCATCAAAAGATGAATAAAAAAATATACTTTACGATATTAATTAAAAACTAACAGTCTTAAGTTTCAGTTTAACCCTGCCTAAAAGGGATGAGAAGGTGGTCATGCAAGATGGCTCTATCATGCTTGGGTGGGGCCCTAGCTAAAACGCACATTAGATCATACGATGGATCTCGAAGAAGCGATTCTTCTGAAACGGTTCTTCGGAAACCACCGGACAAACTGTAAATTCGCATTATTCTCGGCTGAGATTCTTTCGCCTATCGAGACATTTGCCGATCGAGTTAACATCAATGTTAAATCAAATAATCATTTCAATTCAAAATCAATGCAACAATTGAACCGTTACTTATACAGTTGTTGCAAGTAAACGTAAAAAAAAATGTTTACAGCAAACGCAACAGTTAAGTGATCGGTTCTTGGAAAGCACACACATCTGCTTTGATAGATAAAAATATACATCATTCGTAGGGGCAATTGTTATGATTCCACACAACTGTTGCGTTCAGTAAACACACTCAACTCATGCGCCTTGTGTGTAAATAAAACGATCAATCTTCGCATGTCGCTAATGTTGAACAAGGAATTATGGTACTGTATTTTTATCGTTATTTTCTGGCAGATTCCACGCAATTTGACATATGTTTTTAAATGAAAATGTTTGAATTAAGATATTTTGGAATTAAAATGTATGTTTGTACAAATGAGAAACGTTAATTTACACATTTAAAATTTAAATTCAATTCAAGTTTAAAATTTAAAATTTAAATGCAATCCAAACAGATTTATCATTATCGCGTACCAGAATTTCTCTTTAATTATAATATCATATGATGATATCTGGATCGGGAAATGCTCTTTCGGCTCTTTCTCGTTACTTCAATCGAAGCGCCTTCTTCAATGGAATATAAAGGCCCTTATTTAAACATTAAACTCTTACAAGCTAATTTTTATCTGAGGTATTCTTCCTCCTATAGTTTAAACTTCATGTAGCTGTGAGTCTCTTATTTTTACATTACGTGATATATTGTGGAAAAAAAAAACTTTCCAAAATAATAAACTTCAATTAAAATACAAGAGACTTTGAAACTATAGCAACGTAAAAATTCTAAAATCTTTTTTGAATTTTTTGTATAAAAGTATTGACTTTTGACAGGGAATACTCTTTGACTTTTATGGACAATTTGCAAACAGTAATGTCCATTTGATTTTTGAAAATAATAACGCGCTATTTTCATTTATATCTTATTAAAGCGGCAGCCCAATTATGTATTCAAATATTGCAATTGATCTTACCGATGATTGTTGGAAATATTGCTCGTTCGGTTTTATGATCGACCCGGACGTAACCATCGTAACCGGAATGACGATCGGCCGCTTCGAGATTTCCTGTCGAATGTCCCATAATCCGGAAAACGTATGTCACTTATTTCTATTATTCGAAAATTATCATGCGTAAATTCTCATAAACATCCTCATTTTCGTTTATCGACCTAAGTTATCGTACTTATTTGAATTTGCTCGTTGTTCCTGTTCCTGTTTTCTGATTTTCGTCCTATTTTCTTCTTGCTCTTACAATGAAGCTCCTCTTGGATCTCCAACAGCGACTTGCCTTTGGTCTCGGGTACGACTAGCGCGATGAAAATTAAGCCGATGAAGCAGCTGCAGGCGAAACAACCGAAGGCCGTGTACACTCCATAGTCATCGGAGATCACTTGGTATAACTTGGACACGGCGAAGGCCAACAACGAGGACATCAGATTAGTCGATGACACAGCGGCGCCCTTAATGTTAGTTGAGAATAACTCGCCTAGCATCATATATGGTAGCGGATTCAGGCCCAGAGCGATAATCAGCTCATAAAATATCACGGATGAGTGAAGTATCCAACCGTATCCGGTCATGTTCACTTTGTATGCAAACTTGAGCAAATAAAAAATGCCGGCAATGGTCAATGTGATTCCACCTAGAAAAGTGGTACTCAGAAGCAACGGCCGTCTACCGAGCTTGTCAACCAGAATCGCTGCTGCGACACCGGCAATCAATTGAAATATGCTAAGCAAAATGACCATGATACCAGCAGGTAGAGCCCCATCGCCCTCCTCGAGAATCTCCTGAGTGTACGACTCAATCGCGGCGATACCACTGCACTGAAGAACTAATTGCAGGCCAAAACTGATGATGATGGCGCGCCGGTTGCCAGGTGTATTGAATAGATCTCCAAAGTGACCGCGATCTCTGAGATCGCGGACGATCGTCTTCTGCATCTCTTGCAGATCTCTCTCCAGCTGATCCTCGGAAATACGGCGCTTCAAACGTTTCAAAACCGCCATCGCATCATTCTGGCGATTTCTCATCAGCA